TCCCCTTCTCTCCTCATCCCCTCCTTTCCTCATCCCCCTCCCCTCCTCTCCCCAAGAGTTTTTGGGGTATAAACATTCCCCAGCACTGCACATATGAACTTGACCTTGCTCTGCCTGAACTTGATGGACAGTTTGACCTCGTATGAACTTCTAGGTTCAAAATAATTGCTCCACAGAGCTTGACAGGGATGCTTCTGAGCTCCTTCCAGAATGGGAAGCCCTTCCACGTTTTCTTGTCGGAACGCTTTAAGTCCCCTGTTGGAGCCCTGCAGTTTTATGACGCTGGGTCTGCGTGTCTGGGGTCCATCTGTCCCATTCGGCCTTCGTACAAGGTCTTTTCCAAGTCTGTAGAGCCAGTGTCTTAGCACTGTCTTCAGAATTTGAGTCCCTTCCAGTCTGCCCCCCCCTTGACCCCTCCTGGGTTGTCATGCCCCTCCCGACCCCTCCTGGGTCGCCATACCCGCCCTTGACCCTATGCTCGCCCTTGTCCCCTCCTGGATCACCTACAGGCTATGGGTCTGGCGTCCGTGGCCTGTAGTGTTTCTTTCTTGTCTTGTTTTTCATGTTTTGCTTTGTGTTCTAGGACAGGGCAAGCAAACTTCAGTAAAGAGGGACTGGTAGTGCATATGTTCGGTTTTGTGGCCCAAGAGGGAAAATCACGGACACGGAGAGGGAACGGATTCCCACAACATCTTCACGGATGAAGTTCAAAGTACGATGATCGTTGAGTACAGTGTTTTTGTGTCACAGCCCTACTGAGAATGGAATTGTTTTGGGGGCTGGTGTGTGTTGTTTAATTGGGGTTCAGCGTTAGCGCCATGGGCACATTGGCCGGACGGTCCACTAGTGGGCTGGTTCCATCCACGCCCTCCCCAGACACCTGCAAGGGGCGTGTGTCTGTCCTTGTCTCTCTGCAGCGTCTGCTAGGTGTTCACTGGCCTGTTTCTTTCTCATCCAGCAGGCAACCGTGGTATGTGTGGGAGCAGGCTACCTGGCAGGTAGGCACTTCCCAGGGCTTCCTGGAGTTGTGCCTGGGTCGGGGGGCCAGCCCGCATCTGCTCTCATCAGCCAGGTGGGGACCAGGGCCACGAGGTCCTGCTTCGCGGGGGCGGCTTTGAGGAAGAAGGAGAAATCCGAGGTTAGGCAGCGTGCGGCCGCAAGTTCCTAAGGAGATAAAGGGACAGTCCAGCCAGGACCGGGTCTCCTTACAGCCAGGACCAGGTCTTCTTCCAGCCAGTCTGATCCGGCAGCCTTCCTGTGCTATGGCACCTTCTCCATCCGGGGTGCACGGGTGGTAACTGAGGCACACAGAGTGATCGCCTTGGAGCTTTGGTCTTCTCGGAATCGGGAAGTACTGAACTTTGCCACAGTCTAAATGGAATCACAGGAAATGGCCACTTTCATGGGCAAAAGGCTGTTGAAAGTCAGCACGTGGATTGGGTTCATGCTAATAACAAACCTGTTGTAATTGTTGAGTTTGACTGTTGACCAATGAGCATACGTGCTCGCTCTCACCAGATGCTTAGTTGCTAGCCTTCCCTGTCGGCAGGCTGTTCTGGAATGTTCTGTGCAAGGGCCTTCACCGGCAGCTCATGGGCTTCCGCTTTTCCACATGAGCGGCTTTGACCCCGAAGACGTTGACGGGAACTTGCTCAGAGACACGCTCTTCAGGGTCACAGTGGGGGCCCCAGCTCAGGAGCCCAGGGGGCGGGGAGGCTGAGGGCCAGGAGGCACCCCCCAGCGGTGGAGGGGGGAGCCCCATGGGGCTCTGGGTTTGCTCACTCACTCTTGTTCGCGCTGGTGCAGGATTGCAGTCATGCAGTTCGGTTGAGCCGCGGCCCCGGCTGGAAGCGTGGGGAGGCCGCCCGTGTGCCCTGCTGGACACGCTGAGGCGGTGAGGGTGTGGCTCCGCTCCTGTCTGTCTGTGCCCGCGGCTGTTCTCAGGCTTTGCGGGCACTTAGATGTGCTGCCCACCTCTCATGCTGTTGACGGAGCTGAACGGCTTCAGTGGGTTTGCAGAAGGAAGCTGTGGTCTCCATCTTCCTGTTTCTCATATGTGTCTTTCGGGGGGAGGGTTGCCATCCGAGCGTGTTTTCGTCACGATCAGGAGTGAGTGAGCAGAGGAGGGAGGAGCAAATGGCCAGTGCAGGGAGGAACCAGCGCTCTTCCCAAGTCCCTCCCTAAAGTTCCTCCCCAAAGTCCCTGTTCGGACACACCTGCTGGCCGGTCCGTGTCCCATGGAGAACGAGGTAGGTGTCGGCCCGGTGGGACTGGAGCCAGCGAGGACGATGGCTTGGGCCTGGGCCGCCCCGGGCCCCCCCACCCCTGTTTCGGGAAGAGGGGAGGAGGGTTCCTGTGGCTTCCGGGTCTGAGAAGTGGTGGCTGGTAGCGGATGGTGAGTGATGAGGAGGGGCCGTCATCATAACTCAAGAGGCAGGAGGCCTCAGGTGTCCTGTGTGCAGGGGACGGTGGTCGGCTGGGACCCAGGATCTGAGCTGGAAAGCGAATCAGGGAAAGGATGAAGAGAAAGCACATGTACATGCGTGGCCAGGATCTTGTGGGTGATGTCCGTGGGTGGCCTGCATGTCTGCAGCCATGGGGACCCAGGCCTGCAGGAGGCCTGAGGGCATGGGCTGTGTCCTATTGGCGGGAACTTAGTACTGAAGATGATTTAGAAAGCTTATCTGTTGGGGTGCCCAGCTGGCTCAGTCGGAAGGGTGGGCGGCTCTTGCTGTCGGGGTCATTAGTTTGAGCCCCACATTGGGGCTGAAAAATAAAATCTTAAAAAAAAAAAAAAGATGAGCAGTGTTGCAGCACAGGTGTGAGATGAAGGTGCTGTGTGTGTGTGTGTCTGGACGCTCACCGCAGGGGGTTTCCACTCAGCCGCGTGCACCTGGGGCAGATGTGAGTCTATCGGGGAGGAGCCGCTGACGTGCCCAGCTGGACGGAAGTGTAGCCTCGGGGCCTTCTGCCTGACTCCCGCTCTGGCTCCAGTGCCTCCTCCAGTGTTGACCACAGCCCCGCATGGCCCCTACCACCGTGCACAGCTGCCCCAGTGCCGGGCACGAACGAGGTACCCATTACACATTTGCTCAGTGCTGAACTTAAGGATGCCATGGCCTTGCACTTGGGGCGGGTTCTGTATCATTAGGTAAAGGATTAAATACAGTACGTCCTTGAGAATGCCTACACCTGCATGGAGGCGTCCCCCGTTCTCAGCGTGTCCCCTCCCTTCTGGGGCTGCTGGGGACTTTGTGCAGAGCACACTGAGCTCCGAGTTGTGCACACGCGGCCAGGTGATATGTGTTGCCTTAAGATTAATGTAGGTTCCCAGTAGAGACCACTGTCCCCTGGTTCTGTCAGAGATACACAGCAGGCATACATTTTTTATTGTGGATTTAATGCCTGTTCACCTGCTCTGGGCTGACTCCCCTGCCTGACTGCGCCTTCTCGATGTAAGAATTGTGTCATGTACCCATGGGGCCTGCCTGTTGGCCGGTCAGCACAGGCACTGAGTGTTCACCAGCTAGTACTTTCTGCTTCCCCAAGCGCTGAGGTCCTGTGCGGGGTCCCGTGCAGCAGAGGCTGATGGTATGGGGCTCAGTAGGGGGACGGTGGCCCCTGGGCAGTAGGAGGTGGCTGTCCTGGTTTCCTCTGCCTGCAGGGGCCAGACAGGTGCTGTTTATCGGCCTGCAGAAGGCCTGCCCTGAGAGCGGGCTGCAGGGGGAGGCCCGGGGTCCCTCGCAGCACAGACCGTGTGCACAGACTAACTCTATGAGCTGTGTCTCAACCTGAAAGTAACACTGCGGGTCACGTGTGATCAGTGCACCTGGTGATCTGGCCTGGGCTTCATGGCGAGAAGCTGACCTTGGCAAACCTCTCCTCTCAGAGGTCAGTTCCCATTGCTCCCAGGTGCCGCAGCTGGTTATGATCCAGGAGTGTGAGCTCTGTGGGGCTGCCAAGTGGAGGTGGTATGGGGACAGACGTCAGCATCTGTGCAGATTGTAGGTTTCAAGAAGGTTGAGGTTTTTGCTGCCTCAGTTTTTCCGCAGCCCTGGGGCAGTGCACACCTGTCACAGGGCCTGGGAGGTGCTCTGTGTTCAGAAGCCAGTGATCAGGAAGGGCCCTGATGACGAGGGTGCGGGCCAGGGCGGTGGCCACAGTCCAGTGTGGCCTGCCTGGAGTGGGGCTGGTGAGACGTGGTGTTCGCTCTACTAAATTTCCAGGATTGTTTTCAACTTGAAGTTTACTGTTGGTGTCGGGCCAATTGTGGGTGACTGTTTCCCACCGTTCCCTGTGGGAGTTGCACACAGTGCCCACCTGCTCTGATGCCCCCAGGCTTTCACCCAGAGCACCCCCACTCTCGGCCACTCCCCAAAACTGTGCGGGGCTGGAACCCCCTGTGGTCTGCCCAGACCCCAGGGGCAGGTGGGCTCCTTGGAGATGCTCTGTCTCTTTTCAGTCCGTCATGTGCCTGTGGTGGCCGTGTTCCGGTGACACCAGGCATCTATCTTGTCTCAGCTGAATCACTGGCAGGAGCTGTGCTTGTCCTTACGTAAGACACTTAGTGAGATGGAAGGTTCGAAATATAGATGAGAGTAGAGACAAGTACATGAAGCTCTGCGTGGACATCACCCAGCTTCCATGGTAGCCCTGTGGGCCTCCTTCCTTATTCTACTCACCCCTGGCAAGAGCGCTGAGGCCTTCCATGGAGGGGGCATGGGGAGTGGGAGGAGAGGGGTGCTTCAGGGCAGGGGGGAGATGCTCCAGGGGAGGAGGAGCTGCTCCAGGGCAGGGGGGAGGTGCTCCAGG